TCGGCTGCCCTTATGTCAGTAGCCTGGGAAGTTAGCGAAAGCAACATAATGCTTCCACTGGTAGCCAACGAATATGACGTCACATTCGTTGGCCTACCAGTGCACAAGGCATCATTCGGAGACTTGAAAAGGCAGCTGTGAACAGCTTCCTTCGTACCCTGGAGCAAGAAGCAGAGAGAGAGACAGAGGCGATGAGGCAGCAATGTCACTCTGCATGTCTGGCATTCTCTGGAGACCAAGCCGAGCCACACCAGCCGCACGCACGGAACGCAGAGCGGGGCACCGCGAGGCACAGCCTGGGCGAGGCACAGCCTGGGCGAGGCACAGCCTGGGCGAGGCACAGCCTGGGCGGCCCCAGCAGAGTGAGAGAGACAGCGAGGCACTCGCCTTTAGACAGGGAGAGGAGAGGCCTGGCGGACGAGCCCCGGGCCCCAGCGCTCAGTACACTGTTAAAAACAATAATCTCAGAAATTTCCGCACAACAAGTTGGGAAAAATTTGCGAGAGGCTTCCGGGAAATTCCCCAAAACTCCAGTTTTACCATCAGTGCCCATTTTGTACGAGTTTCCGGTGGGTGTAGCACAAATTTGACACGAAACGACGTCCCCGGAAATGCCCCATTTATATACTTTTAACAGTGTGGGCAAGGAAGGCTCTGGTTGACTGTGCGACGCAGCGTCAAGTGGAATGATCCCGCTTCCCACTCGACGACAGAGAAAGAGAGAGAGACGGGGTTCAAGGCCGTCTCGGCTCCTCCGCGAATCGGTTTGTTCCGAATTCAAGCCGCTGCTTTGCTTTGTTGGCAGAAACAGATAGAGAGAGAGAGAGAGAGAGAGAGAGAGAGAGAGAGAGAGAGAGAGAGAGAGAGAGAGAGAGAGAGAGAGAGAGAGAGAGGCAATTTCGCGAGGCTATTGCGGTCGCCGTCTAGCCAGTGTGCGTGTATGCCCGAGTGTCCTCTGTGAAGCAGCGCGCTCGGATGGAAACTCGCTTCACTCAACAAATAGAAATAAAAACTGAGACAGGAAAATAAAACGGTTTTGAGCTACGTTTGGCGGAGTCGGGAAGGACGCGCGGTCTGGGCTGCCGTGGTTTCTCAGTCGCCGTTGTCTCTCTCGCACCGATGGGTCGTCCCGTAGCGACGCGAGAGAGAGAGAGAGAGAGAGAGAGAGAGAGAGAGAGATAGCTGCGCGGGAAGCTCGAAATAACGAGCGGGGAAGCGAGCCAGAGTAATTGTGCCGAGGCGCCATGCAAAAGGAGAAGTAGTCTCTCTCTCTCACGGTGCATACCGTAGGGTGCGAGGGAGACAGAGCGACTGTCAACGTCTCACAGCGTTCGGGAGTCAAGCATTGCCGGTCGAACCGAAGGCAAATAAACCGCGATCGCGCGGGTCGGAGCGATGCCCCACCAATTGAAAGCAGAGACTGACTCCGAAGAGTGTCGCACTGTCTCTCTCGGTGCTGTTCTGACGGCCTGAGGACGTCCGCATGTGATTCAAATAGGGTCGTTCTACGAAGCACTACCCAGGACACACGCGGTTAAAAAGGCAAAATGAGCGAGTCCGTGCGAGGCTGGCGCGGGCTGAGAGGAGGAAGTCCTGGCCGACGGCACGCACTACGCAGTGGCGTCCCAGAGCGTCCTTGAGCGCCGCGACGTCGTTTTTGACACCTCCACTGACCGTCGCACCTGCGGGCACACCGCGAAACTGCCCAACACTGCCAGGACACTGCGAAATGGGGAAGGAAAGGGCCCAAAACGTCCTGGCCGTGTCGCGTCAACCCAGGACTGCAAGTCTCCAACAGCAAGCAAAGACGGTCCAAGCAGGGCGAGCCACTGCCTAGCAGTGTGGTGGCAGGCGCGACGAGGGGCAAAGTTACGACCGGACGGCATTGTGTTCGGTAGAGCCAGTCGGGCCAACCGGGGGAGCAAAAAGTCAACTGAAAGGAAGCACGCGCAAACGCACCGCACGCGCCGTAGTCGGGAAGCAGGCTCGTGTCCCATCCCAACGTCGCCCAGTGTGGGCGCCAGGTCCTCCTTTGGTTCCGCGTCCCTCCGCCAGGGGCGCCACCGAGGGCGCCACCGCGGCGCTTTTTGCCCTTTGGCCCTTCGGGAGGGAGCATCCCTTGGCGCCTCTAATTCATGGCCCGCCCTTCCCCTTCCACGGGCGTGTACTACGCCGTGACCTTGGAAGGGATCAGGGTGGGGAGGAAGGGCCCCCTCGCCCTGCCACCCTTTCGGAGGGCAGTAGCGTAAACAGCCAGTAAACAACACACAAGGTCCACGCCAAAATGCGCCGAAATGGCACCAGCGACGGTCAACACGCTTGACGAGTCGATGCGGGGGTGGATTGTCCCGAGGTCTACATCGATTTCCCCCGACAAAAGCACTGTTAAAAAAATTCTGAAAATTCAGACAACTTTTTTCAGACTTGACGTTATGAAACACCAATTAAGACCTTTTTATGAAATTTCATAACTTTTGTCTGAGATGTCAGACAGGGCAGTCTGAGACCGTGCTTGGTCTGAATATTTGTACCCAGTCTGAAATTTCATAATGAGGGAAGTCATAAAATTAAGATTAGGCTGACTAATACAAAACCAGATATACAAAATCAAACGTCGCGCATCAAAGCATTATGATATTGGCAGTTGTTATGTTGAGGGAGCTTGTTGAATGCAAACTGTGGACCAATCACTTCTCAAATGGTTTGGTCCACTTGCTTGCAGCCGCCTGGAGTTACGTTTCAGGGACCTGCCGCTAGGTGGCGCTGAGCGCCGCGGCAGATCGCACTTTGTATTTCCGATTAATGTCATTAAAGTAAATAAGTTTTGCGAACAGCATCGTCTCCTTGCTTTCGTATTATCAGCTCTAGCCTTTAGCAATAAGTTTGAAACAACACTATTACTCTGAAGGGCGAGAAAACCGCACAACGTTGGCTCTCGCTGGCGTCTGCGAGAGGCCATTTTTGGTAGCATGGTGTCCATTGTGCGCGGAATCCCGGCGGCTTTGGAGTATGCCTTTCGGCACGGGAGAAAAATCTTATCCGCCAAAAAGGCCGCCCTAACAAGCGTCTAGCCACCAAATAGGTGCCCTTTCCGCACGATTGCTGCAGGATGAATTCACACAGTATGTTCTAAAATTTTGGACAAAAAGTATGAATTTTCAGCTACAAAGCAGTGGGAATTTTAAGACTTGGCCATGTCTGAATTTTAAGACTTCATTTTCAGACCAAGACGAGTCTGAAAATTAATAACGAGTTTATGTAAAAGTACTTCACTCAAATTAGTCTGAAAATTCAGAAATTTTTTTTAACAGTGAGGACAAAAACAACGTCTGTCGTTCCAAACGGACAACAAAGAACTCGACGCGCAAGGAAAAGGGGGCCCTCAATCCAAAAGCGGGCCATGCGTCTCTATTCGGGTGCAATCCGGAGCGCAGCGTCAAACCGGTTTGCCGGGAGCAAAACCGGTTCCCGGACAGTGGCGTGTGAGCATGACAGCTGTGTCACCGCCATCACCGTCACCGGTCAGCGCGCCGCCAGCGCCGTCAGGCCCGTCGGGCCGTCACAGCTGCTGCCCCGTTTTGGCGCGCTTTGACGCTCGGGCACCGCCAAATGCGCCAGCTCAGTCCAAGCAAGGAAACCAAAACGTAGAGTTAAAACCTTCCGAGTGGTATATGACATTGTGCAAATTTGGGTTGCCACTTTCAAGACTAATTTTGCTGGCGAGGTTGTGGCATTGTTATCACGCCCTTGCAAAGTCTAGGAGTTGCTTACAAAATATTTCATCAATTTGTGATGAAATAGTCGTTCTTTTCAAGTGTCATCCACGTTTTTTTCAGAAGGTGAAAACACTTCTTACAGCGTACTGAACCCCAAGTTTGACTTGATTTCACTCCTCGGCAGACTCGTCCCCTCCTCCAAGTGAAGGTCGTCACGCGGCATTTTTGTCGGTCTTCCTGCTGGCACTGATGCCTTTACGCTTGCGCGCTTGCGCAACACCGTCGCGGTTGATTTTGGCGGGGCGCGCGGGGCGGCAGAACGTAGCGCCCCTCCAGACACAAATAAACGCTCGCCAGCAGAGCCAGCGGGCAAAGCGAGAGCACAATATTTTGGTACATTGGCTTCGCATCGCAACTCCCCACCGCAGCGGGCTTGGCGCAGGTCGGGAGAGGGGCCACGGGAGGGGGGGAGGGGAGGGGGAGGCTTGCATAGGATGCTGCTGCAAATCACTGGGGCAAATTTTCTCCTCTTTCATAACCTGAGCAATGTCGCGACACTAATTCGCTTCATTCAAATTAAACTAACGGTAACAAAAGAGAAACATTGGTTTTCTCTAGAATTTTTTTACTGTCCGTTCAACGATGTCGCACAAGAAAACTGTGTCAGTGCATTAGTGGAGAGCTGTGATCAGCCTGCGCACAAAACAGCACGAGTGCCGCCTTCAGGGACACAGGAGAAAGAGAGGGGGTGGGGGTGAGAGCGAGGTGGGGCGGGGGTTCCGGGGTTGCTCCCTGAGGCCCTCGGCGGGTCCTGAAACTAGATTGAACTAGAATCACTGGCAGGTCGTGTCGCGTCGCGCCTAGACTCGCTGGCGAGAATAGGCCGCGGGGCCTGCGGGGTCGACGCCACCAGACAATGCACCGAGGCCCTGGGCTGCCCAGCCCAGGCGTGCCCGGGCGTGCCCAGGCTTGCTGAGATGCTGCCCCCCCCCTCCCCCCCGCCCTGGGCCTGGGCCTGCCGTTGTGTCCCCTGATTGACAACTTTCTTTCACAGGAATGCGCGGCAGCGTGCCGGCTGCAGCGAGGCCTGGAGTACGGCACTTACGCCCTGATGCTGGGGTATGGTGGTCGGAGGCCTAGGCGGCCGGGCCTTGGCCGGGCCAGGGGGTGGGGGCGGTGCGAGGGGCGGTGCGAGGGGCGGTGCGCCGCAGCGCGGCAGGCAGAGGCCTCCCAGCGCAGCGGCGCAGCAGCGCAGCCAGCGGGTGGCCCGCCAGTCAAACTTACCGCAACACCACTGGCTAGACCCAGTTCATCGGAGAGGCAGCTCCTCCCTCGGCTTTGGCCTCTGCCGGTGTTCCGACGAATCCTTCGCGGGGCAGCACTGTGACCTGGGCAGCCTCCGCGGATGTAAATATTATGGTTGTGTGTCACCTGGGCAAGGTCCCGGGCGGCGCGCGAACGGGGCTCCGCGACTGCGCTCGTCTCGTGCCAGAGACACACTGAGCGCTGCCGTGCCGAGCCGGCGTGGTGGGGGCGGTGGCAGCGGGGGCCGCGCAGCCCAGGCGCAGCCGCGCACAGGACCGAGCCTGCCGAGCCTCCGAGCCGAGGCCGAACGCCCGAACGGCCTCCGAAGCAAGGACTCGGCCGCCGTAGGCCGCCGCCGCCGCCCTTCGGCGCGTGGTCGGACCACGCTCGGGCCGCCCGAACTCCCCCGAAGGTGTTGCACTTCCGCCCCGCTGCCCGGCCGAACGGCCCGAACGGCCGGAACGGCCCGAATGGCCCGAATGGCCCGAATGGCCCACCCTCGGGCTGCCATTCATGGCCTTCGACCATCCGCCGTGCCGCTTGGGCTAGCTTGGGCGAGGGCAGGGAGTTGTGTTGTGTGGGCTGTTACATCAGCGGGCCGCGGGCCATCCAGGTCCTACGCCCTTCCCTTACATGACCGTGAGATGCAGATGCACGCGACTCTCCGGGCCTCACTCAAGGACCTCCACGCGGAAAGGCAACCCAAACCTGCCCACGAGGCTACAGTATCCCTTAGATGAAGAGATGTTCAGCGTAGGCGCCGAGGATTAGAAAAGTGCGGGCCCTCCAAAAAGTACAGCGACTGTAGTGATGTATGTTCCCATTCAACCAGCCGAGGCCCAGTCTGTCCAGCCCCAGTTCACGAGGACCTTACCCTCGCCACTGCGACGTACCCCGCGCTCCTGCGGACTCTCGCCTCCCGGTGTCTCTGACGGCGAGGGGTATCGAAGAGCCTGCCGCACGCGGGGTAGTCCCGCTCAGCCGCGGTGGGGCGGGGACGCCTGGGGTAGGCCACCCGCTCCATGGAGGTGTGATGCGGGAGTGCCTACCCGTGACTACGCAGGCGCCTGCGAGGGGCGGCGCAGGCCACCCGCTCCATGGAGGTGTGATGCGGGAATGTATATCCTCGAAAGTGCAGGCGCCTCATACAGAACAAAAACAACCACAGGCAAACGAAAAAAATTGATAGCCAAAAGTTGAAAACAAAGATAGAGGTTTCAATGGGGCATCCTCACCTCACACATCGTTTAACGAAGGCTCCATTTATTGCCTTCGCTTTAGTTTTCCCGACACAATATTGACGATGCAGACTGTCAGAGAGGCGCCTTGCGCGCATCCAGGGCAGCCTGCCACGGTCCGCGAAGGGGGAGGGGAGGGGGGGGACTTCCTTTCGGCAGTCCATGCTGGCCACGGCGGCCACGGCGCTACCAGTGGTGCTGCACCGTGCCGCTTGATCCGTTGTTGATGGCCGGGGTTTGGCTTCGGGCTTCCTCCGAGGGTTATCCACCTTCCTCCCATTACCAGGCGCCGCGGTGGCGGTGCCGTGCCGTGCCTCGCCGTGCCGTGCCGCGCCGCGCCACGGCACTGGCAGACCGAACACCGGCAACGGCTCACTCCAAGCCTCGACAAGGAGAAGCAGCGTGGCCCAGGCAGCAGGCCCAACAGTGCTTTCGTCGCTCTGGCTCTCTCGCACCCCGACGGGGCGTCCTGCGAGGGCGAGGGAGACGGAGAGAGCGTCGAGCCCGCAGACAGTGGCAGCGCTGCCGGCCGCTTCCGAACAGCGCTCCGTCGCAGTCTCTCACCTGCGCGCCCCGCGAGTGTGAGAGAGACGGAGCACAGTTCGGGAGGAGCCGCCACTCGATAGTCCGAGCACACACACACTCACTCACACACACGCCGCTACTTAATGACAGCGCGGGCCGCGAGGAATCGCTGATGGCAGTGTAATGCTCCTGGCATTTGATTCAACCAACACACTCTGTGAACCACCCCTCACTCTCCACTCGCAAACTTTCAGTGCGTCACTCTCGCACTCACTTCGGTGTCACCTTGTCACTCGCCGCCCTTTGTCTCCGCACTCTCGGTGCACACTGTCATTGCCAAGAGAGCAAGCGACTCACACCGAGGAGGGCACTCGAAATTGGCGACAAAGTGTGAATGTGAGTGACTGCGTCTGTCTGTCTGTCTGTCCGTCTGTCCGTCCGTCTGTCTGTCCGTCCGTCCGTCCCCACTACGTGCCGCGCCGCCCCGATGGCAGCGCGCGCCCAGGCCATGGCGAGAATATTAACTTTTCGTCCGATTGAATTTCGGGTACCGACGAGCCGAGCCACTGCCGGACAAAGCCCGCGAACGCATAATGGCGCTGCTCTCTCTCTCTCTCACTCACGTGGAATCCGCAAGGGTGCGACAGAGACAGAGCGACGCCGCCTGCAGACTTGTCACAGTGCGACGCCGGCAGCGTTTCCTGCCCCCTAGCACCGAGCAGCGCTGTCGTTAGTGGAAAAGCGTTCCAAGTTATTATCTGGTTCACCAGTACGCGAACGGCGCCGAGCTCCAGAGACTAAGAGGAAGGAGAAGAAGAGAGACAGAGGAGAAGAGGGGGGGGATTAACCATGAAATAATCGAAATGTAAACACGCCAGCGTTGCAGGGAGCCACGGGCAGCCCGTGCCGTGCGCTTGCTCGCACTGCTCGCACTGGTCGCACGCCGCGCGCCTAGTCTCCCCGTCCGACTGGTTCTCTGCCGGCGTTCCGCCGTTCCGTCCAGGACGGTGAAGCGCGTTCAATTATTTGTACGCTCGGCGATTTTTCGATTCGACGGCGCGGAGCTGCCGCCCGCTGCTTCTTGACTAACCGATTGCACTTATTTACCAGACTGAATCTTGATAGGAGGGGGGAAGGGGAGAGGCAGAGAGAGGGGAGAGAGAGGAGAGAGAGAGAGAGAGAGAGAGAGGGAGAGAGAGAGAGAGAGAGAGAGAGAGAGAGAGAGAGAGAGGGGTCGTGGCCCCGCTAGACAGGTGTAATGAGGCCCCGGTGCCAAATGATTTTCCCCGGTGCGCCACTTGCTTTTATGGGACCGCCCAGCTTCACGGAGATTCTATCTCAAACCACGAGAGCGGGGAGAGGTCAGAGGAGACCTACACTGCCAAATGATTGGGGAATATTTACACACGCGTAAATCCACTGCGCACACTCGAAGTGAGTTTCTTAAAGTGGGGTGGTAATGGGAAAGCACGTTCGGGAATGGAATCCGGAGAGGGACCTGAAGGAGAGGCCATCGATAAAGAATACAAAGAACGCCAAGACGACGCCAGAGTTGCGGTTTCGTTTACAAACCGCGTGGCGTGTGTGTGTTTTTTTTTGTGTTTGCTGCCGTAGGATTAGACGGACAAACCCCAACACTGCGTCGCTCAGACTCGAGGCACTAATACAAACTCTTACCCCGTTTTGGGCCTTTTCCAGGCACGAGGACGACGGGACGGGGCTCCGATAGATACTTCGTGCAGCTGACAAATTGACTTTCTAAAGAGATTTCCTCGATTGCGCAGCTCACTGCGCTGCACAGTGCAGGCACCAAGGCAGGCACGCACGCCCCGCCGGAATCTTGTTACGATAGCTTAATGGGAAAGCCGGCCCTCCGCCTGCCGGGCTGCAGGGAGCGAGACAGAGAGGCCTAAGCGTAATGACAGAGTGAAGTGACAAATATGGCATCCTGAAAGCGAGCGACGATCGATTCTAACGAGAGTTTTGCTCGCGACAGGTAGTTTCCTCGTCAAAATCGATGTAACCGCGTCGCGCACCGCAATCACACAGTCAGTTTGTTTCTGACCTCCGAGCTGATTTATTGTACACTTGTGTGATTTATTCGTAGCCTAGGTGGTTCATGGTTTATGCGCAGATAGCGACATTTTTATTTTTTGCCTAATTAGGCAAGCGTTTTATAGCATTTTAGGATGCATGACCGACTCGGTGCGGTGACATACACTGCTCGCACACGTTGCGTATTCACGGGGAAATTCCACCGCGCAAGGGCGTTAGAGACTCTTGGTATTTGTGAGAACGATTCCCCTTAATCAGTCAGTTGTTGAAGGCCACTTTTCTTTCCTCGGCTGAAGAAAAGCAGTCGAGCAGACCAAGGAATCTACAAACGCCTTCTTGACAAATGTAAGTTATTGTAAAAATATTTTTAATTTTACGAAAATATTAATATCCCCCTAACGATATTCCGGTAAAGCACTCTGTGGCGTAGTGTCGCGTTGCGGCCGAGGCATTGTTGAGGTGCCGCTTCCGCGAACGGTGAGCCGAAGCCCGACCAAAGGACCAAAGCCACACAGCAGCGCCAGGCCGCCAGGCATCAAAGGGGCTCTTGATAAAGCCGCCATCAAAGGATAATTCCCCTTCCAGCGCGACTTAGCTCTGCATTTTCGGTCGCGCGTTCAGTTCTCGGCTGTCTTTTTCAAGAGTGGCCACCTGGGAGGGACGAGACGAAATGCCACTTTCCTTGAGTCAATGCTGGTCAGAGCGTTGTTCGTGACCTTGCCGAAAAGAATTGGAGCGCACAAGTGCGTTGGGTTGGGCAAAAGAGCCACGGCAGCTCTGCCCGCCTGCATTTCTGCAGTGCAGCGCCCCCCAGCGACAGAGTGGACGACAGTTATCGGCGGCAGCAACATTTCGAGCCACTGAGAAGCCGATTGAATTAATTCTCGGCGATTTGCCGGGGCGATGGGCTGGCTGGGCTGGCGCGCGGGACAGGCGGGGACCTCCCAAAAGCCTACTCCGTCAGTCCGTCACCGCCCGCCCCGCCCCGCCCCGCCCCGCCCCGCCTCCGCAGCGAGGGCTTTAATGAAGCACCGGCCAAACAAGGCGCCTGGCCCGGCGATTGAAAACCTCGACGGAAGCGGTTTAATCACATGCATTACGTCGCGCGCGCATTTTTCCGACCCATTTTGGGCAGTGTGTCGCCCGGCGGCAGGCTGCGGGCCGCAGGCAGGCGCAGGCCGTGCCGGAGCGGGCGGCGCGGTGCAGTCGGACCGAGGCGCAGTCGGAGGCATCGTGCATGACAGAGATACCAGATTCAGGGACACTCGGTCGCTATGTTCGTGGAAGCCTCGGTGCACATGGGTGCAGTTACGGCGGGGCGGGGCGGGGCGGGGCGGGGCGGGCCGGTTGCTGCCACTCACCTGTTGGTT